GTTATATCTTCAATAGTATTTATACTTTATATATTATTTAAGCTTACAAATTTCTACACTACACTCTACTTGCTAATTTTTATTTAACTTACAGATTTCCTTTGTTTACATATTTATTGGCTTACAACTATTGCACTTATCTTTATTTCTTAATTCCTACGAGTTTTATTTCTTAGTTCTATTTTAACATTTATAAATCTAACATCAATATATACCTAATCTTATTTCTAACATTTTTCATTGCCGTTTTTTAATTCTATTCTTATATTTATTATCTGTATAGCAGTAAAAACTTATGTCTATTTATTTTTAACATTTTCAATTAACAATTTCACAGGTCTTAACAGTTATGCACATATCAGGATTGGTGAATTTCTGTCATGTGTCTAATTTTATACATCTTTCTATATTTTAGTCACGCTTTTCCTAGGCAATATAATATATATACTTAATTTATATATATATATATATATATATATATATATATATATATATATATATATATATATATATTGTCCATTTCTTTTGCTGGTTTTTATTTCATGCTGTTTTCTTTTGTGTTGTGTTAGTGTTGTGATTCATGTAAGTGTTACTGTGCTGACATAATCGTGTATATTATATTATACATTCTATATATCAGTTGTGTTCATTTTGTCGTGTATTTCATGTTTGTGTGTGTCGTGTTAATGTTCCTGTGTGCTTTGTAGCTATTTGTATGTGTAGTGTGATTTGTCGTAAATGGTTCAGGCATAGGCCGTGTTTGCACGAGCCAAGTAGTCCCATTTTTTCCGTACAGGGCAGTCTGAACTAAATGCATTATGGTCGGTCCTCCGCAACCCAGAGTGTGAGCAGTTGCAGCACTGTGGTTCATTACCTGCGGTAAAGTCTGCGCATTTCTCGCGCAGATGCGGTCCTCCACAGTGACTACATCTGTCCACACTCTCGGTGCAAAATTTCCGACCATGTCCAAAAGCGAGGCATTTCGTGCATTGTATGAGCGGGGACTGGTCCTCGACTCTTATCCTTTGAAGGTCCAGATAGAGGGCTCCAGCCTCCGTCATCCTCTGCCATACTTTAGGCCTAACCTGAAGAATGATGTGAACGGTCTTTGGATTTCTTGTCCGTTTTTTAAATTTTATTGCCATTTCCATGTCTTCTTCAGTTAGGCCAAAGAAAACGTCTTTGTTTTGAGCGTAGAGCGCCTTGATTATGTCTTCCTCTTCACTGTCTATAAAGACATCTTTTAGGATGACGAGAGGATCCTTATTTTTTATGGGCGCTACTTTTAGTCCATCACCGCGACTCTCTATTATTTTTTGGACTTTCATCCTCTCCTCTTCAGTGTCGCAGCCCAATATAATTTTTTGGTTCTTGGCCTTGCGAATCTTGTTAATTTTAAGGCCAGTACCTCTGGCGTCGACCGCTTTTTTCACCCTGGCGAGCACCTCGTCAGCAGTCTCCAGACCACTTTCGAAGGTGACCGCCATCGAGTGAAGTGCAGGGCGGTGGACGGGTTTGGCTGCTGCGACGCTGGCGTATGACTTAAGGACTGGTGCTGTGTTTATTTCGCATGCCAGTCCTTTTGTGACCTCCAAAAGATCTTCTTTGGCTGCGATGACATCATCGGCAATACCACCGATCAGATCTTTAATCAGGGCGTGCGTTCGACTCTCGACCTTCTCGGTCGTTTCGTCTATGGCAGCCCTGGTTTCATCGATCCTATCGGTGATCTTGTCGATCATGTCAGAGCCTCGGTCGTCGTTACTGTTATGGAGTCCCTCTATGTCTGTTTTCAGACTTTGCTCCAACTCGTTTATACGCCCTGTCAGCGTCGCTTCCACTTCTCCCAGTTTCCTAATGATAGTGTCATGCCCTTCGGACGACAAGGTTTTTATTGGTGATCCTGTTTTTGTGGCCTGTGCTTCGAGACTTTGTATGCGTCTGCTGAGCTCGAAGATTGTTCTTATACCCTTGTCTGACTGCACCTCCAGGAAATGCTTAATATCTTTCCTCATCTGAGGGTACTCCTGGACCTTTGAGGGTATATCCTCAAAGGTTTTCATCATTTCCTGGAGGAGCTGATCGCTCGACAATGCAGCGTAATTATGTTTCTGCTTTTTGTAGATGTCCATGTTGTCGAGCGATCTTCTTTTGGCTTCAGGTCTTTTAATAAAGGTCCTGGCAGCGTCCTGTGCCGCTGCGGTTGTGGTGGTAGGGCTGGGGGTGGTGGGCTTTTTGGCAGCGCCAGAGGTCGTGGATGTGCGATACATGTTTTCTGTGTGAATGTGTATGAGTGCGGTGTATAGTGTAAGTTATGTATGGATCGGGGAACGTTGTCCTTGTGTAAAACCCTGTAAAGGGGGGGTCTGTGTGTAAAATATTTGTTAGACCCTGTAAAGGGGGGGTCTGTGTCAGCTATGGAATAAAAACTAGTCAAAAGTAAAATAAGGTAGAGTCCAGCTCTACCAAATTATTTTTATTAAATAATAATATAAAGGTATTTGATCTCCGTATGACTCTATGTAGAGTATCTTTATAAAAATTAATGTAAATGAAAATAGAGTGGGAAAACAAGCGCACAATAAAATAAAAGAAAAATAAAAGAAAAATAAAATAAAGTAAAATGGCTCTACCTAGAGTCTGGTCTTATTATATATTTCAATTTAAAAATGTTAGGAAATATTTTAAAATATGTAATTATCTTAAAAGTTTACTTCTCTCTACGTAGAGTCGTCTCTATCTCAATCCCACTCTATGTATTTCACAGTTATACCGTGTAATATTAAATAAAATACAGAGAACAAAAACCACAAAAAAAACACAATTATATTTTTAGTGCTCTACATAGAGTCCTCCCCCCCAAAATTTGTTAGCTCTTTGATTGTATTATTTTTTGCAAAAGACCCGGTCTGAATCGGAGCACTAGTTAGCTTGCTATGACGATTTTAAGTTTTTCATCCCCCAGAGACAAAGTCCAGGAGTCAACTTAGGGGTAGGGGGGTTGAAAATCACACCAAATGATCCGGTGGGGGGTCGAAGACTATCCGGCTTCTGGATAGTGTGGGGGGGTGACGGGGGGGGGGGGGCGAAGGAAAATTTCGTCAGAATTGAGCTAGGAGGCTCCGTTTTCCCGTAAACTGAAAACACAGTTATCGTGCAGTTTTCAGGATCTCCTAGCTCTTACAAATAAATTCCTATCTCTGAAAGCGCTGCCTCAAAAATTCCGAAAAAAAATAGTGCAGATAGCTAAGTAAATTGTCTATCATACACTTAATTTAGAAAAATTTTTGTTATTAAAATTTTTTAAGTTTTTTAATTTTGAAAATCGATTTACAATTACCAACAACCGCAAAAAGCGTCTAATTCGAAAAATATTAAAGGGAAAATTTTGAAAAAAATTTGGAAGCTAAGATTAGGTATGCCTTATTTTATGGAATTTTTTTCAGAATTTTCAGCAGCACTTTCAGGACACCACGTGTTTACACTTAATAATAAAAAAATTCCTTACTTTTCTATTTACACTCCAAAAATTTAGTTTTTGATGTCCTTTGTTAGGTCCTGGATTGCATATCCGACTGAGCACAAGAAACACATATGTCGTCGCTGAAATTTCAGAGAAATTCACTTGTGAAATTTTCAACTGAAATTTTGTTTTTCTCTGTGTTATATCTTCTGTGTTTCCTGTCCGATTTTGACAATCGAGGTGTCAAACGTTTTGGCTTGATGTCCTCTTCAATATGCCGACGTCAAAATTAGCCGCACGGCCTCCTATCCAAAAGCACGTGTCCACGTGGTTTTGGTTTTTCCCCAATATTTCGGTGCGCTGGCGTCGAAAATTTTTTCTGTTTAGCCTAATCTCTTAAGCTAATCAGGGCGCGTCTTTTCACACTATAAAAACTATAGGTCTTCGATCTAAATCGAGCAGCGTTACACTATAAAAGTTTTGGAGGTTATGAAAATCTGTTTTTTGGTGATAACTTTTTAAATATTACACTTTTATCACTTTTTTATTATATCACTGTATTCGTCTCGTCCAGACGCGTCAAACGGTATATAAATCTTTAAAATTGGTGCACTTTGACCCACCTTCGAGCGCGGAGCGATATAAAATTGCTGCGTACGGCACGGCGTTTGGAGTGCAACTGGTTAGGTTAGGTTAGGTTAGGTTAGGTTAGGTTTTTTTTTTTTTTTTTTACGCTTTTCCCCGATCATGGGATCATCGGGTCCTTATTATTCTATATTGCTCATACATACCAGTTCTCGCATGTATTCGCACTTTCAGGCCGCATACTTATTCTTTCTTTTATACATCCACATTCATTCTTTTCCGGGTGGGACTCCCGCTACCCTATGCCTAATTTTTCTTTCTCTGGGAAATAAAGTTTCGTACATTTTATTTATTTCTGGTACTTGCACTTTACACATACAATATTTATGCTTTCCTATTACTACACTACATACTACAAACTTATTTTATTTACTTGCAAATTTACTTAGTTACATATTTTTTGACTTACAACTATTGTACTTATCATTATTTCTTAATTACTACTTCTTATTTCTAACATTTCATTGCCGTTTCTTAATTCTATTCTAATATTTATTATCTGTACAGCAGTAAGAAATTATATCTATTTATTTTAAACATTTGCAATTAACAATTTGGATACAACAGGATTGGTGAATTGTCTTGTGTCTGATTTTCTACTCCCTTTTATATTTTAGTCACCTTTCCTAGGCAATAAAATATATATACAAAGTTTATATATATATATTGTCCGTTTCTTTTGCTAGTTTTATTTCATCTTTTTATTTGTTTGTATTTGTGTTTGTGATTCATGTAAGTGTTACTGTGCTGATACAATCGTGTATATTCAATATACATTCTGTATATCAGTTTGTGTTCATTTGTCGTGTATTTCATGTTTGTGTGTGTCGTGTTTGTGTTCCTGTATGCTTTGTGTCTGTTTGTACGTGTAGTGTAGTTTGGTGCAAATGGTTCATGCATAGGCCGTGTTTGCACGGGCCAAATAGTCCCATTTTTTTCGTACCGGGCAGTCAGCACTAAATGCGTTGTGGTCGGTCCTCCGCAACCCAGAGTGTGAGCAGTTGCAGCACTGTGGTTCATTCCCTGCGGAAAAGTCTGCGCATTTCTCGCGGAGATGCGGTCCTCCACAGTGGCTACATCTGTCCACACTCTCGGTGCAAAATTTCCGACCATGTCCAAACGCTAAGCATCTCGTGCATTGGATGAGCGGGGACTGGTCCTCCACTCTGACCCTTTGAAGGTCCAGATAGAGGGCTCCAGCCTCCGTCATCCTCTGCCACACGTTAGGCTTAACCTGTAGAACGATGTGGACTGTCCTCGGATTTCTTGTCCGTTTTTTGTATTTTACAGTCATCTCCATATCCTTTTCATTTAGGCCAAAGAAAACATCTTTGTTTTGGGCGTGAAGCGCCTTAATTGTATCTTCATCCTCACTATCTATAATGACATCTTTCAGGATGACGAGAGGATCTTTGTTTTTTATGGGCTCTACTATGAGTCCATCCCCGCGACTCTCTATTCTTTGCTGAACTTTTTTCCTCTCGTCTTCGGTGTCACACCCCAAAATAATTTTTTGATTTTTGGCTTTGCGAACCTTGTTGATTTTAAGGCCAGTACCCCTGGCGTCGACCGCTTTTTTCACTCTGGCGAGCACCTCGTCAGCAGTCTCCAGACCACCTTCGAAGGTGACCGCCATAGAGTGCAATGCAGGGCGATGAGCTGGTTTTGTTGCTACGACGCTAGCATATGATTTAAGGACCGGTGCTGTGTTTATTTCACATACCAGTCCTTTTGTGACCTCCATGAGGTCTTTTTTGGCTGCGATGACATCATCGGCAATACCACCGATAAGATCTTTAACCAGAGCATGCGTTCGACTCTCGACCTTTTCGGTAGTTTCGTCTATGGCAGCCCTGGTTTCATCTATCCTATCGATGATCTTGTCGATCATGTCAGAGCCTCGGTCGTCGTTTGCGTTTGAAAGTCCCTCAATGTCTGCTTTGAGACTTTCCTCCATTTCTTTCATACGCCCTAACAATGAGTCCTCCACCTCCCCCAGTTTCTCCATGATGTTTTCAAGCCCTTTGGACGGCAAGGTTTTTTCCGGTGATCTTATTTTTAAGGCCTCTGCTTCGAGACTTTGTATTCTTCTGCTAAGCTCGAATATTGTTCTTATGCCCTTGTCGGACTGCACCTCCAGGAAATGTTTGATGTCCTTCCTCATCTGAGGGTACTCCTGTACCTTTGAGGGTATATCCTCAAAGGTTTTCATCATCTCCTGGAGGAGCTGATCGCTCGACAATGCAGCGTAGTTGTCTTTTTGTCTTTTATAAATATCCATATTGTCGAGCGATCTTCTTTTAGCTTCCGGTCTCTTGATAAAAGTTCTAGCAGCATCCTGTACTGCTGCTGTTGTGGTGGCAGGGCTGGGGGTGGTGGGCTTTTTGGCAGCGCCAGAGGTAGTGGGTGTGCGATACATGGTTTGTGTGTGTGTGTGTATGAGTACGGTGTTTGTGTAGGTTGTGTAATCGGGGAACGTTGTCTCTTTGTAAAACCTTGTAAAAGGGGGTCTGTGTGTAAAATGTTTTGTTAGACCCTGTAAAGGGGGGGTCTGTGTCACCTATGTCCCTGTGTGAAACCCTGTAAAGGGGGGTTTGTATGTAAATATTTGTTAGACCCTGTAAAGGGGGGTCTGTGTCACTATAAAATAAAACTAGTCAAAATTAAAATAAGGTAGAGTCCAGCTCTACCAGACTATCCGTGTGACTCTATGTAGAACAATAAAATAGAAGTAATATAAAATTATTGAAACAATTTCTTGACTCCTCCTATCAAGAGTCCGGCTCTACAAAAAATTCCGGCTCTTTCAAGAGTCCGGCTCCACCAAGAGTCCGGCTCTATCAAGAGTCGGGCTCTATCAAAATTCAGCTCTGTCAAGAGTCCGGCTCTATAAAGAGTCCGACTCTATCAAGAGCCCGGCTCTATCAAGAGTCCGGCTCTGTCAGGTTCTCTATCTGGGGTTGTCTCTATACTCTAACTTAACAATAGCAATTAATTTAAACTACAACTGGTCACACCTAGTTTCTAATTATTTACACTAAGAGAGATTGTAGAGTTAAATCATATGTAACATAAAACGAATCTTTATAAAGTTATAGAAAATAGGATATAAAAATAAAAAATAAAAAATAAAAAAAATATATATAAAAATTTTATGGCTCTACGTAGAGTTTATGTACATATAATTTTAAGGTTCTGCTAATCTATATATTAATACAAAAAACCCCGTTCGACTAGACCCACCGGTTTTTGTGTTTTAGGTGTTAGAAGTTTTTCAACCCCCAGAGACAGTTTGGGTCCACGGTCTCCAAGTCCAGAGGTCAACTTAGGGGTAGGGGGTTGAAACTATGTCCAAATGATCCGGTGGGGGTCGAAGACTATCCGGCTTCTGGATAGTGTGGGAGGGATGACGGGGGGGACCCCCGAAAAAATTGTCAAAATTGAGCTAGGAGGCTCCGTTTCCCTGAAAACTGAAAACACAGTTATCGTGCGGTTTTCAGGATCTCCCAGCTCACACAAATAAATTTATAGCTCTAAAACGACTTATCCGAAAATTCTGAAAAAATTAATATAGATATAGTATTAGTTGCTGTATTAAAAATTGCAATTAGTAAATTTTTATTCCTGAAAAATTTTTAAGTTTTAAAATTTTGAAAGTTGTGTTACGAAAACCAACAACCGCAAAAAGCCTCTAATTTGTGAACTGTTTATGTAAAAATTTTGAAATAATTCTGGGATGATATATAAAGGTTAAGAAATATTCCCTAATTTTTTTCAGAATTTTCAGGAGTGTTTTTCAGGGCCCACGTGTTTTTGACAATTTTTAAAATTTATCTTAAAATTATTAATTACACTCCAAAATTAAAAATGTTTACACAATTTGTTAAAACTTAAGTTCCTCTTTTAATTAAATTCAATATATATATATGTCGTCACTGAAAAACCAGAGTAATTCACCTTTGAATGTCCCTCCTGAAAGTCGGTATCTTCAAGGCGTGGTATCTCCGGTGTTTCTGGTCCGATTTTAATGATCGAGGTGTCGGATGATTTACCTCGATGCCCTCTTTGATTACGCGATGTTAAACTCAGCCGCACGGCCTCCAATCAAAAACCACGTGTCCACGTGGTTTTTGTTTTCCGAAAATATTTCGGTGCGCTGAAGTCGAAAATTTCCGATGAGTGGCTTAAACTGTTAAGCTCATCAGGGCGCTTCTTTATGCACTATAAAAACTATATGTTTACGATCTTGATCGAGCAGCGTTTAACTTTAATGAAATTTTAAGGTTATAAAACCAGTTTTTTCGTGATAATTTTAAAACTATAACACTTTTGTCACTTTTTTATTATATTTCCGTCTTCGTCTCGACGAGACGCGTCTAACGGTGTATAACACTTAAAGATTGGTGCACTTTGACTCGACACTTTGAATTTTCGAGCGCGGAGCGATATAAAAATGCTGCGTACGGCACGGCGTTTGGAGTGCAACTGGGTTAGGTTAGGTTAGGTTAGGTTAGGTTAGGTTAGGTTAGGTTAGGTTAGGTTAGGTTAGGTTAGGTTAGGTTAGGTTAGGTTAGGTTAGGTTTTTTTTTTTTCCCCACAAATATCATCACTTTTGTGGGAGTTGGCAATGTTTTTCATTTGCCGTTCTGCTATTTGATACAGAACATTTGTGCGCTGTGGGAATTCTTGGAGATGTTTTATAAATATTTATTTTACATGTTTTGAGTTCAAAATTATTCTGTTCCGTTAAATTTCTTGAGACTTTTTATTATCGTATTAATATGGTGTAGAAACTTTTCAAATGTGCTTTCCTTTTTAATAATTTCTTCAATGGAGAAGGGTTGTACTTTAAAATTGGCGCAAGTTATCGTATGGGTTAGACGTGTAGCTTGGAATTTTGGACAATCATTAAGTAAATGGAAAATTGACTGTACTGCAGTGTCGTCGCAAGGGCATGTGTTATTTTCCACTATTTTAAATCTATGAAGGTACTCTTTGTGGTAGCCGTGATCTGTAAGAATTTGTGCTAGTGTGAATGAGTGCTTGGTGACTTGGTATAATTCTTGTATGTGTGTAAGTGTAGGGAGCCATTTTCTGGTTATTTCACCTTTCATGTTATCTTGGTAAAATTGTTCGGAAGCTACTTTACTATCTTGTTGAGCAAGTTTTCTTACGAAGCTAATTGGAAATTTTATGAGAATAGGGACGTTATGGCTTGTGGCTGCAGCTTTGGCTGCCAGGTCAGCAGCTTCGTTACCAGCTATACCTGTGTGGGCTTTGACCCAAATGAAATTAACTGATAAGCTGTGGTTGTCTAGCATTCTGTGGATGTTGGTAACTATTTGATTTGTACTATTGGGGTTACCGATTTCTTGTAGTCCAGATTTGCTGTCAGTCAGAATAGCTGCATTCGGAATGTGTTTATCTGCAAGCCACACACAAGCTTGTTCTATGGCTTTCAACTCAGCTTGAAACACCGAGCAAGAACTATGGAGTTTTAGTTTTCTAGTTATAATTTTACCATTGGGGCAATATACAACAAAAGCTCCCCCCAACCTTTTCGTCGTGTCTACTACCATCTGTGTAGATGTGATGAGTGTTTTCGAGGAGAATCTGATTGACTTCTTGAGCGTTATTGGCTTCTTGGTAATGGATAATTTTGCGACGAGATGGATGTAATCGTTCTTCTGGTTTCGATGGTGTGTCTAAACTAATGTCTGTTGGAAGATATTTGCTTGTGCCTGTTAGTTTCGTTGTTTCGATGATTGCCAGTTCATTAATTTTAATGTGTATAGGAGTCAGCCTTGCCAGTGCTATTGCATTGATGGTATTTACGGTTCTAAAACCTTTAATTATTTTTATAGCAAAACCACGTTGCAGGGATAGCAGCTTGTCTCTTACATGTTTATATTTTAATGCCGAGTGCCATATGCTGGGCGCGTAACAGATAATTGGTTCAATAACATTTTTATATATAATCTCAATATTTTCGGATTGTATTCCCCAAGTAGGTCGGATATATTTTAATAATTTGTTATATATACTTCTTGTTTTGACCAATATATGATGAACATGTTGAAATGAATTTTAGTTTTTTATCTATAATGATGCCTAGAATTTTTATATAATTTTCCAATTTGATGGGAGTGCCAGATACTGATATTTTTATTTTCTCAGCTTTACCTGTGAAGGCAATTGCTTGGGTTTTCTGAGGCCCAAATTTTAATTTGACTGACTCTCCCCAAATGGTGATTATATGGAGTGCCTTATTAATTATTTCCTGTAACTTTAAGGGGTCTTTGTCGTGAGCAATGAGCGTAACGTCATCAGCAAAGGCTTGTTAGGTTAGGTTAGGTTAGGTTAGGTTAGGTTAGGTTAGGTTAGGTTAGGTTAGGTTAGGTTAGGTTTTTTTTTTTTTTTTTTTTTTTTTACTTTTCATACTACTACTTTCCTGCAGTACCCTTCTTTCTAGATGTATATTACTGTTTAGTTTTGTACCAAGTTTTTTTTTTTTAAGTTTTTTTTTTTTGAAGCCGTACCGCTTACAACTGTTTTTTTTTCTTTATTACACTATTTATTTATTGACTATATTACTTATTTAACTGACATATTATACTACGACCGTACTATAACTGACATATTATACTTCTTTCTATTACAAAACTCGTTCATTGCACTATTTAGATTTTTACTTATATTTATAATTTGTATATAATTAGTACTAATTGTATTGAACTAAGATTGCTTTAAGTATGTATATTTTGCTGTGTTGTATACATTATTCTTATATTCTAAACATTACATTTTACTAACTTGATAATATATAAGCTTAATTTTTTTTTTCCTTTATAGTTTTTTTTTTCTTTCATGTTTTCGTTTTTATTTTCTTCTTTCCCTTTTTTGTACTTATTTCAATTATCTTTTTTTTTTCTTGTTTTTTTTTTTTTTAATATATATATATATTTTTACATTTTCTAACTTTATCAATAATATTTAAGATTAAATTACTTAAAGCTTCTTGCTCTTACATTTATTTTCTCTTTAAACTTATTATTAATATTTACAGATTGTCATTTATAACTACTTATATATGCTTATTTTTTTTTCCCACCTTGCTACAATTATTATTGCTTACTCTACCATTGTACTACCATTTTCCTTACTTATAATTCTTAATGCGTAAAGAGCAAATGTCATAAAGATAGGTCGGCAAGCGCTATCCTCGATTATAATACTTAAATTACTTTTTGCGATGGTCATTCCCATGCTGCATTCAGCTTCAAATCTTCTTCTACCGAAACGCGGGCAGTCAATGATAATGTGCTCTACAGTTTGGTTTACGTTTTCATCGCATGAGCAGCACGGGGATGATGTCAATTTATACTTATACAAGTAGGCGTTATTGCCTCCGTGACCAGTAAACAGATGTGTGATTAAATTATTCATCTTTATATTTTTTATTACCTTATAAGCTATAACCACGTTGGGAAAAAATGTCTTGGTTGTTGTGCTGGTTGTTGATTCTTCATATTTTCTTTGCCAAATTTGAAGAGTTGTGTTTCTGGTGAGGCGCTTTGCATACGACAGTGGGAATTTATCATATTCAGACCTTTGCTTGCTTTTGGTGGCAGCTCGTTTGGCTAGTTCGTCTGCTCTTTCATTGCCCTGGATTCCACAGTGTGCCTTGATCCAGAACAGTTGAATTTGCTTTTGTTTGTCCTCGATGTTTTTTATCACATCTCGAATTTTATGGGCAATTGGGTTCAAAGAGCTTGGATCGCATATGGTTATAACAGCTGATCTTGAATCGGTAAAAATATTTGCTCCTTGGTAATTTCTGTCGGCCACGTACTTTACTGCTTTTAAAATTGCGATCAACTCTGCTTGAAAAACGCTGCAATAGTTTTCTAATTTAAAGGTAATTGTCTTTACTTCAACTTTATTTTGCCAGATCGTTACTGCTGCACCTACCTTTGTGTCGATTTTACTCCCATCTGTGAAAATTTTTACCCAGTCGTTACTTAATTCGTCGATGTCTTTCTGTTCGCTTATTAAACCAAAACTGCGCTGCGACCTTTCACATGGATGGGGCAAATCGTAAGGGCTTATCCTCTTTTCTAGTTGTCTTCCGGGTAAGAGCTCGATGGGCTTTCCTTTCTTGATCTCATATATAGTTGCGTTTCCTTTGCCCTTAATGCTAAGGGTATTATTTGGGACAGAATTGTACTAGAGATTAGGGAGTTGGTTCTATGGCCTTTGCAAATACGTATGCCAAAGATCTGCGTCATTCTATTAAGTATTCGTTCGATATATCTTTTTTCAGTTGTCTCCGCCCAACAACTAGCAGCATATAGTATCGTTGGTTCGACTACCGCTAAATATATGGTTTTTATAATTTCGGAGTTTAAGCCCCAGTGGGCTTTCGCTGCTCTGGAGACCATTTTATAGATATTGGCTGCTTTGCGACAGACACTATCAAGGTGAGGCTTAAAATTTAAGTTTTTGTCGATTGTGAGGCCTAAAACTTTCAATTGGTCTGAAAACTGCAGTATAACTCCTTCAATTTGTAAAAGTGGTCGGTGGTACTTAAGTTTCTTGGTTAGGATTATTGACTGCGTTTTATGTGGGGCAAATTTAAGTTTGTGTTTCTTGCCCCATTCTGTAATTGTTCGTAATGTATCGTTTAAGTCTTCTTCCAATTTTAGGCCATCCTTGTTTGTTGCGACGATCAAGATATCATCGGCAAATGCTTGTACGTGAGTGCCTATATTTTCAGTTGCGCTGAGTAGGGGATCGAGGAGGATGTTCCACAGCATTGGGCCACATGTAGAGCCCTGGATACATCCTTTATTTGTGGGTTTTTTCAATTCCTGTCCAGCATACCTAAGATGTATTTCTCTATCTGTTAAGTAATTACTAATAAGCCTGACCATAGATTTGTCAATATGTTTGAAGTTAAGTTCTTTTATTATAGCAGGCCACCATGCGTTATCGAACGCGCCTTCTATATCCAGTGACACTACTGCAACTATAGCTTTATTCTTAATCCCCTTCTTTATTAGGGCAATTGTATCATATAAGGCATCCTCAGTACTTCGTTGCGGGGTAAATCCGTATTGTCTATTATTCATTTTGCCTTCCCTTCCCAGTTGCCACTGGACCCTATTTACGAATAGTTTTTCCAGAACCTTACCTAGAACTGGTAGTAACCCGATTGGTCTATAGGATTTTACCAGGGAGTAGTCTTCTTTGCTGGGCTTGGGGATAACCTTAATTGTTGCTTGCTTCCAAATTTTTGGGAAGTAGCCTAATATTAAGCATTTATTGTATATTGATTGCAGGACTTCCGGGTTGCTTTCAAATGCAGCTTGACATATGTCAGATGTTAAGCCATCTGCTCCTGGAGCTTTTTTCGGACTCATATTTTTGAAAATTTCTCTTATTTCTAATTCTGTAAACGACTTGGTTGTTGATATGTCTTCGTTTTTAAGTTTGTTTATTATTTGTTGTATTTCAGTCCTTATTTCAGTCTGTTCCGCATTATCAGTTTCAGGATTGTCCCATGGATAAAATGTATCAGCTAGATGGTTCACTGATTCGAGTACTGAAAGGATTTTTCCACTTGAGTCGCGGAGTAGCCTGTCATGTTCTCTGTTTGAACAAGCTTTTAAAATTCGGTACGTTCTTTGCCAAAGAGATTCTTTTTCTTCTCTATTACAGAGGTTTACCCAGCTTCTAGTTGTAGCCTTTTCAATTGTGCTAATATATTCTTGTCTTGCCTCTAGATATTGTTCTATTACATACTTTCTTCTGCGTGGGTTTGCGTTCCTTATTCTTCTTCTTTTCCTAATCATATCTGTTTTCTTTTCATTTACTCCGTTGTTCCACCAAACAGGATTTTTTACTTTTCGCTTCTGGTTTTTTGTAGGTATGATTGTTGTTACAGGCAGTCAATATATATTGGGTGTATTTATTTATTGTTTCTTCTAGCTCTTGTGGTGTTTTGATTTCTTCTATTGACTCGCTAATCATATTATGTCTGCAAAATTCTTTCAAATCCTTTTTTCAGATTGCTCCAATTTGCCTTTTTAGTATTATAAATCCTTGTGCCATGAGTGTTGATTGTGTTATTAAAAAACTCTATTTCAAGAGTGAATGAGACCGATTTGTGACTTGATATTGTGAATAGTGATTCATATACTTGCCAGTCTTTTATTCGATGGAGTAATGATGGTGAGCAAGCGGTGATATCTATTATACTAGTGCATAATTTATCCATTCTATAAACAGAAAATGTAGGCGTAGTGCCTACATTAAGGATGTCAAGATTGAGTTCCGCGAATGTTTCCATAATGATTTTTCCTCTGCTGTCATCTGCTTTGCATCCCCACCAGATGCTCTTTGCGTTGGCGTCTCCTCCTATTATGATGTCGTTGGTTGCCATGTTTGATTTGTATCTTCTGATCATTTGTAGGTCTTCATCGAGGTCTCCCTTTTCATGTAGATACATGCTAATTAAACCTATTTTTAAGTAACCTAGTTCTAATTCTACACCAACTATGTCCTCAGAGAGGAGAGT